AAAGGCGAACGATGGAGGGGGGCGAAGGGCGAAATTGTCTTTGGTCTGGGAGGGCCACCTGGGGGTCCATCTGCCCGTCAGATTCGCAGGGCACACAGGAAAACGAAACACGTATCTGACCGGGACAGTTCTTGGTTTTTACCTCCGTTCTATTTTCATACCTACTCACTGATAGATTTACGTCGAGATGGCTACCTGCTGATTAGTGAGGATAGGCATGAGCTACTGTCTGTACAGCTGTAAAATGCTGGGCTCGTACTTAATGCTGGCACGAGCCAAATTCTTTGCAACGTTGCGAAGAACTTCGATCCCTTGAAACACGACTTTCTTTGAATTGTGCGTAGTATTCCGTTGCACGCTGGCAAAAATCCTTACAATCAACACGTTTGTAGCTACACCACGACGTTAGTGAGGGGGCTCACCACATCGTGAGCTACACTTCACCGCGTGCATGCGTGCGTGCGGGTTGCCTATCCGGTCGTGGCCGCAAGGCGCCGCCGTGGTCAGCGACGATAGGCAAACCCACCAGCACGCATGCATGCCGCACAGCATGCGCGGGGTTACCCACTCAGACAACTGGTATATAATCTGCGTTATGAACCTCTCCAGAAGCATTTTGCAGTGCAAGTCGTTGACCTCTGCGAGTCTTACTTTCCGGGGCGACTTCGGGGAGCTATAATAGCAATGAGGAGCGAATTGACGGGAGTAAAAGGAGAAGAGGGGGAAGGGATTGGAGGAATGAGGGGGGTTGGGGGGGGGGGGGGGGCGTCACGGTACCGCGGGCTCAACCGAGCCGAACTGCCCGCCGCGCCTAGGCCGCGAGCCCACGAGGCCAGGCGAGCCCAGCGAGTTGAGTAGAGTACTCCACTCCGACCATAGACAAGCTGCCCGCGGGGCTCTTCAAACGGGCGATGAACAGTCGAGTCGACATACGGTCGGAAGGATCTAGCATTAGTAGCATCAATGACATGGCTAGCGGGTCAGGGCACTACTAGCAGTGCTCTCTCATAGTCGTGGAGAACACAACCAAACCCCGTACACTAGTTTGAGACTAGCTAACTCAAGCAACTGGCAGCGGAAGATCAATGACGTTGACAAAACACACTCTTACACACTTTACACACTCACAACACAAGAGTGCGTCACATCATACTTATGTTTTATTTTAAAGAAAACCAGCAAACAATGGCTGCTCAAACATCAACATGCTGCGTTTACACTCCAGGGAATTAAAGCACAGTCAATGTGCCAATATGAGATTGATCAGTAAATTCAATGATAACGAAGGGGAAGAAGTATACTCAAACAAGTGCACTGAGCATAATGGACACAATAAAAACTTGAAATAATCAATGTTCTGTAAATTAGTTGACCTTTGACACAAAAATATGTGGCATGAGGAACTTGTTCAAACAGAAAAAGACTGAACATTTTAATAATAATAAATTATGAAGTAAATTATCTAATAAACTATGTAAACTAAGTAAGCACTGGTCATACAACACCCGCTCTTTACAAAATTGAACAAGACTTACAGATAGTTTCTTGAAAATAAAAGACCTGCAATGCATTGTGTGCAAAATATACTAGGTCACCCATGTCACTTTAAAATATTCAGTAAGTTAACTTCATATAAAAGGTACAAAGAAAGTGAAAAATAGGTCAGTTAGCGGTGTGACATTTCTTCGAAAGTAAGGTTAGAACGTTACGAAATGGAACGGATTCAATACATACTTTACAATAAACAAAACAACGCACTGAATGGGTCTCTACATTTCACAGTGGGTGGCAATACTCTCCTCCCAGCATTAGATATAGAATTCCTAACTAGGCACAATACCCAGGTGTTCACAAACGTCAAACCCAGCGCGCGTCTTCAGGTACACAAGACATCGTAAACAAATGTTTCAAGTGAAACTTACCTCGAACTGAGAAGGGTAATCCACACTGCAGTGAAACAAAAGCTCCTAGGAAGGAGACCGGGCACAAATTCCAAATTTGAGAAGAATAAAAACACGCGAGTTCAACGCGGCTGATCGAAAATGAACGTCAGCTGACGGCGTAAACACAACTGTGGCTACCCGATGCGTCTGCTACCACCACCGCCCCCTCCCCCACTCTTCTCTTCTGCCAAAGTGGCAAAAATTTCTCTTCCCGTGGCAGATCATTCCTATTGGTCGAAACACGAACTTACACAACGAAAGGCCGCGGATCCAGCCAATGAGAGCGCTCGACACACAAAGGAGACTGTCTGAAACAGAAATGTCACATTTAGTTCATGCTTCTTTATCTGTCAAAAATTATAGCCGCTACGATCAAGTTTTCTGAAAATAGAGGACGATACACACACAACACGTGTAAGCGTGCCAGTTTGTAAATGATCAATTACATGCACAAATATTTTTCATGACATACTGCGAATAACGTGTTCTGCAAACAATGGTTTTCCCCGAGCTCCAACCCTTCCGGTTTTAATCTCGCTCAGAATTTTATTTTGGTCGGTCTCCAAAAAAAGGAATAGAAATTTCTACTGCTAGCATCACAACGTTTTATTTTACAGGTAAATGACAAATCCCCTCATAATTTTAAAAAGTCATACATGTGCTCTGCGGCGAGGTGTGGCTGTGTTACCGCTGCAAATGTCTTGTGTTTCTCATCTCTCAGCAGCAACCTTAACCTCCTATTTATTTGTTTACCTCTAAAGAGAAAGTAATGTGCTTTCGCCGTGCTGTCATAATTTTCTCCACGTATTGTATCAGTTAACGTTCAAAGTACTTCATCACTGACATTTGAAATAATTAATTAAGAATCTTTTAGTGTCTTGTGCAGTAGTGTAAAGAATACTTCATTTTTCATTTTAATTTTTCAGGGGAAGTGCAAGATGTCAAAAGTCCATCATGCATTGCTTGCATATGGAAAACCGTGGGCTGCCAGGACGAGACTGAATCTACCTTTGAGGCAATATACAAAGGTTCGCTCGCAACACACAGATGCAACATCACATCAGAACCTGCCGCAGAAGGGTCGGAAACGAATCACTCTTCTAGTCTTTGGTATCTGTGCTAGTGGGTGTGGGGCCTACTACTACTCCCTCACTCCAAGAGAAAAGCGTCTAGTTCAGGTGGGAGTAGGTGGGATTGGACGCTTCCTCAGGTAGTTAGAAATATATATGTGAATATGTACAGCTTACAATATTTTTCTAATCTAAGAATGATCAATTTTTTTTCCTATTCAGAACAACTAGAATAGGATTACAAATTTCCCTTGATTATTATTGGTCATTGTTGGGCCTTGAAGATGGGACTGAGAAATATGAATTAGCCATGAGCGCAGCTCATCAACGTGCTGCTCAGAGCATTTTGCACGGCTGTATGAAAAATGGTGGACTTTACATAAAGGCTGGTCAAGGTTTGGTGTCTTTGAATCATATTCTGCCACCAGAATATTTGGAAACTTTAAAGGTAATAAATTTGTTCTTGTACAGTGCTCTCCCTCATTGCGACGCCTTTCAATTCAGCGCATTTCATCCACTCACCCCCTGCCCATTAAGTTGAACATGCTTCCCACCTGCTCCCCTGTGGTATCAATATCTAGACAGTACGAACGGTCAAAGTTTAATTTTTAGGACCTCTCTTGGTGGTACTCCTTAATAAAATGAGCTGTGATGCATCGGAGTGAGAGGGTTCACTGTAGATTGAGTTAAAAAATTTCATTACTTTGCATAAATTTTCTAATTCTACTCTACAACAGGTACTGCAAGATCAATGTTTGAAAAGAAAGAGCAATGAGATAAATGACCTTTTCCAAGAAGAATATGGCCAGAGTCCTGATGAAGTATTCTCGTCATTTGATTCAGAACCGATTGCAGCGGCCAGTTTAGCTCAGGTACTACTAAAAGCAGTTCTTCTCCAGTCTTTTCAAAACTTCATTATTATCTTCTCTGTTGGTTTTCAGGTTTTTAAAGCAGAAACCAAAGATGGGCGAAAGGTTGCTGTAAAAGCTCAATACATAGACCTTCAAGATAGATTTTCAGGAGATTTGGCAACAGTTGATCTTCTCCTTGCATTCTCTGCATGGTTACATCCTAAATTCAATTTTCACTGGGTTTTAGAGGTTTGTTATATGGTTTTTGACTTGTACTATTCCCATGTATTCTTAACTACTGCCTACTTCTTCTTTATTTTATCTCTTTCTACCTTATATGTACTAGGAAATTAAAGAAACATTGGAACAAGAATTAGACTTTATTAATGAAGGTAAAAATGCTGAAAGGTGCTCTAAGGAATTAAAGAAGTTTTCATATATATATGTGCCAAAAGTTGACTGGGACTTGACTACCAAGGTAACTTGAGTTTTGTGACGATTGTTTTATTCTTTAGAGCAATCTACATCTTTAACTCTGCATTTTCCAGAGAATTCTTGTAACTGAATTTATTGATGGAATTAAAGTTAGTGATGTCAAAACACTAACTGAAGAAGGGTTTTCTTTACCTGATATTGACCGAAAGCTCATAACAGCCTTTGCTGAGCAAATATTCCACACTGGGTTCATCCATGCCGATCCTCACCCAGGAAATGGTATGTACATATATAGATAACTAGTTTAAAATTTCACCATATCCTGTGGTTATCTTATCATGTGGGATAATTCTATGAGTATCACACTGTTGACCTGTGCATATAGCAATACTAGGTAACAGTAAAATTCCTTATTATCATATCTATCTAACATTTGGTTTCTCTGTTTCAGTTCTTGTGAGGTGGTCCAAAAATAAGAAAGCAGAGCTAGTTTTGTTAGATCACGGACTTTATGAAAAGCTTCCGGCTGATGTTCGAACAAATCTTTCTCATTTATGGAAAGCTATTGTTCTTAGTAACCATAGGGACATGAGGAAATATTCTCATGAACTAGGTGTCCATGGTAAGACTCGTTATTGGAATTTTCTTTTTCTTTGTTTCATTTTACCTATCTTTATTGTCTATATATACTTAAAGGTATGCTCTCATGTCATTCTGGTACACTGAAGGGTTAATAAGGTTTTCATGTGTGGAATTGTAAGGATTCTCTGGGTTAATGATTGCAGAAGATTATCGTCTATTCTGCATGGTGTTGTCACAGCATTTTGTGAAACCAGAAGGGGAGGAAGAATACGAATCTTTTAAGTTTATGAAAAAGTTTAAAAGTCACCACAGTGCCATAAAAGCCCTAGAAAATATGGAAGAAGATGAAAAAAAAAAAGTGTTGGATGCTATGGAGCGAGTCCATGGTGCTGCATTGGGCGTATTTAATTCCTTTCCTCCTCGTCTAATTTTTACACTTAGGTATTTACCAAAGCTTTGTTTGGATATTTTAAGAAGCATGAATATGTGTAGTTTGGTTTTGTCACTTCAGGTTGTTTTTCTTTTGGTCAATGCTGTCAGTGCTTGTAGGTTCACTAGCTCTTCCCAGATCTTTTCACTTTTTTTTTTGCATCTTAGTAGTTTCCAATCCTAATCGAAACATTAACACACATGAACCAATAACGCTTAACGGGCCCACAGTTACCATAGTGATGCGAGGGCATCTTCCAGCTCGGTGTGTTTGACTTACTTAAAATGTCCTACAGACCATGAAATGTTTGCCGAGATTCTTACTCAAAGACCTTTAAAATTACACAAATATGCTATAAAGACATCTTTAAGTTCTGAGGATATGCGGTACATGACTCGAATGGCACAAGAAAGGTTTGACAAAGTCATTGTGGCTTTGAGACAAATGCCATCTACCCTACTGCTTGTAATTCGGTATGTTTGTTAAATGAAAATTTCATGCAATCTCATATCATAACCCTTTTATTTGCTTTCTCTGTATTTTCTCATCTGCATTTTCCCATTATCAGAATAATTGTATTTAATTTGAAATCAAAAGTTACATTAGAAAGATACCCTTTCATTTAACTATCTGCTTAGCAGTGTGTTCTTGAAAGAACTTTATCAGGCCTTTTACTTTCTCTATTCTAGATGGTTGAATATTTATCTATGTTTCTTTATTGTATCAGGAACATCAATACTATTAGAGCTATCACGAAGGACCATGGTGACCCAGTTGATCGCTACACTATAATGGCAAGAAGTGCAACTAAAGGGGCATTTGCGGGCCAAGGCATCATTGGAAATTTAAAAGCACTGAAGGATCGCACATACTTTGAAGCTTGTTTATGGTAAGAGTTTTTATTTTATCTTACCATACCCAGCTTAAAATTCTATTCACAGTTTTTATAAACAAGTAGAGTCTGTTCTCACACATTTTTACAATGCTTTTTGTAATTTTGTTGTCATGAAAATTGAAGTAAATTTTACTGAAAGATTCAATTTGCCACTTGAAATTGCTTTCAAAATAGAAATTGGATTCCAGGTTGGAATTGTTGTGGAAAATGTTGTTGATGTGGATGTTAAACATGGAAATCAAAGAATATGTTCGTGAAAATAGTCACTCACCTACTGTATGTATTGTTTGCTCGCCTTAGAAGTACTGTACAAATTCATAATCTATCTATTATAATGGTGAGCTCATTTTACTTACTAGCCGCATGTAACATGTGTAGAATTTTAAGTTGGGTCCACAATATTTTGTCTATTATAATTGAATGGTATGTGTCTAACCCAAATATTTTCTATGCCATTTTCAGGTCAGATTGGTTTAAATATAGACTTCTGCGCATTTATGTGTCTATCTTACAAGTCTTTGGAAAAGGAAACAATATGGCTGCCTTATCAAGAATGATACACTAAAATCATGTTAATGTAAAAAGAACACCTCAGGGTTTCTATATTCCTTTTCTGCTATACTATTACTTTAATCTAATCTTTTTTTTTTTTATAGCTACTGAGGCCTTCTTGAAGTCCCTACAATTCCCTGCTTAATGTCATTTAGCATTCACTTTCCTAAACTCTGAAAAGGAAAACACATTGTGGGTTCTTGTGCCCTGCTCTCTGTGATTTTTTTTTTAATAGTATTATATATTATCATTTATCAAGATAGATATAAATGTACCCTATATTTTGCTACATGTTTCACTCAACCTTGTCAGTCAGATGTCAAAGTATTTTTCATGAAATCTAATCAATTTTATTATTATTGAAATCCCAAATATGAAGTTGCATGCAATAGCAATAATTTACAATGAATGATGGTGTGATGCTTTTTCTAAATATAGCTTTGTACCCTACTCTTTTATTTTTTGGTTTCATTTATTGAGATGAAAGCGACTGTTGCTGGTGTTGCTGGTCAATGCCCATGTTACATCAGTTTTATTTTTGAATAAAGTGTTTTGCACAGAAATGTCTGTTGATTCCCCTTTCTTTTTTTTTCTTCCCCCTTCTCGAGGCATCCTCCCCAGGTATATAGGCCTATATTGGCAAAAAGCCCTCGGAGCTCTGCGTGCGGCCAGGGCTGCGGGCCCAGGGGATCGCAGCGAACTTAGCAACCCGTTCCGGGTTTCATGGTTACATACCGTGGTTTCACCACCGAGGCTTCACCGTGCGGACGCGCCCTCTGTCGCCGTTGGTGCGAGGCTTCGGGGGTTGGAGGTGCTGCAGGCGGAGGACGGGGTGGGCTGGGCGCCGGGCCGCGGGCGCCTACAGCCAGTGCGTGCTGCGCCGCCGCGGGGAGCAGGACCAGGCATAGAGCCAACCTACACGGGCCGCACAGCGCACCCCACCGCCCCTCGCATCGCCTCGCGCAGCCGGCGAGCTTCCGTACGCGAGTCCACGTGGACGGTCAGAACAGGACAGCATCAGCGGCACGACCTCGAGGACAAAAGGCGTACGGCGCGTCACCGGAGGGGTGCCGGCTCAGGTGAGTCGCGTCGTCTCTGTCAGCTGTACGGGAGTTGAGAAAGTATAGCGACCTAACCTTATTTCCGTAGCTCATGTAAATGGTATGAACGAGTGCTACGAAGCGTTCTTGCGGAGTTGTCGCACAGCCTTCTGTGTTTATGATTGTATGTATAACTCTTTCCAAAACTATGGCTCGAACGCTCTGAGACGTTTCCGATATACTAAGCAAGAATCAAGATGACCAACAGATGAGTGTTGTTTGCTTTGTGACCCAGGACTGAACCCCTGTGGGTTGGGTCAGACTGGGTTTGGGAGGTGAGCGCGTTTGTCAAATGGGAAAGTACGTTGGTTTAATGAGTCTGACGACAGTCAATAAATACTGCAACGTTTGGCGGAGATACGGGCAGCGGTGATACTGGGTGGCCTATTCCAGATGATAGCTGAAAGGGAATGCCAAGTCTCCTGATTGGTGGAGCAGTTGGCATTACCAATCAGAACCAACATAATTAGAATACAGATGCAAATGCACGTTGCAGTTCAGTACAAGACTATGAATGTATGGAAGATGTGTGTATATATCTGAACAAAACTGGAGAAAACTTTGGGCTTCTCTGACGGACGGCGAGTTTTCGTGTCCGTGTTTGAAGAGGACGTGGCGGGTCGGGACGCGGGACTCCCTTTTCCTTCTCGGCGGGTCTGGGGGGTCTGGGGCTGGCGCAGAGTGCAGCGGGCGGTAGTGAGTGGCCGCCTGCGTGCTCCGGCGGGGCCTGGGGCCGCGGCCTTGCGCTGCCACGCAACCCCTTGGCGTGCCCGCCAGCCCCGCCCGGCCTGCACTTGGCTGACGGCCAGCCCCGTTCCGGGGGAGAGGGAGACCACGCCAAGAGGCGCCCCCACCCTCCTCTCCCCACGCTGCCGTGACGGAGCTAATGCACTTGTCTGTACTTGCCCCCCTCCCCGCCCCCTCCCGACTTTCCGTCGTGCTGGTTCTGGACCACTATTTCAGCCCTCTGCCCTCTTCCCCCCATTGGTGGTGGTGGTGGGGGGGTCCATTTTCCTCTTTCATCGCGTCATCCAGCGTCGCGCTCTGGCGGGGCGGACGACGCGACCCCCCAGCCAGGCCCTTCCCGTGCATCTCATTGCCACCGCTGCCCAGCTGCTCTCAGCTGCTCCCCGCCAGCTGCTCGGCGGCCTTGCAGGTGTCCCGGCCCGGCGCCCCTGTGCAGCTGGCGCGGGGGTCCCTGTCGGCCCGCCGGCGCTTGCTGAGCCTGCTGGAATAGTTTTCAAGTCTCCTGATTGCTCCGGTTCGCTCTTCAAAGTGTCGCCCCGATGCACCCGGTGGGGCTCAGGCACTAG